GGGGCCTTATTTTTTGCTATTTCCTTCAAAGCAGCTTGAACTTCTTCCTTCATCACCATAGGCTCTTGCTCATATGTTGTTTCATGAAATTCTTCTATGTCTGCCAGTTCTTTATTATACAGTGACTCAGTATATTCTTTCCATCTTCTTTTAATACTTCCTGGATCATTTAATATTCTTCCTAAAGCATCCTTGATTATAGCAACACTAGGTTTGAATTTGTTGAAGAAGAAAAAAAAAGTACAATGCAGTTACTCTAGATAGGATAAGTTATACATTACTGGAGTAAGAATACATGATTTATAGGAAGTAGCTGTTAAAAATGCCCAGTGCAACTGATAATAGCCACAGAGGTTTTTTATATTTAAAACTCTTGATTACGCTATTGCATAAAAAATTTGCCAAACATAGAACAAAATAAATTCACAGGTGAGTTCTATTTACGAAAACATAAAGGTGGTGGTAAGAAATTCTACCAATTAATCAGACAGATAAAGGAGAAATGTTTTACTATTTATACATCTTTTAAAAAAAAACCATTGAGAGCCAAGTCCTAGGACATGCTGGGAAAACTTCTGAACAGTCATAAACTTTGTACCATCTCTCTCACATTTGATCTCATTTTGACCATTTATTTTACAAGAGAGGAACTCCATCATACCCAAAACAAGGAGTTCATTTCCATTTGACTCGCTCGCTCACTCTTCAACCCCTGGGAAGTCAAATTCTTCTGGATTTATTCCATATTTCTCTGCCAAGCCATCAGGCTCAGCTGATTACTAGAGTTCCACTGAGCTTTTGTTTTCTTTTGATCTATCTTGAGATGGTACAATTTACAGGCTGCAGAAATCCCAACAGCTGCTTCGCAGCCTAGCTGAGGACCAACCAAGGTTCTATCCTTTGAGTATTGGTGGGTATCGTAACGTGATACCAGAGTTCACTACTCTCAAAATGTATCCCCTGTTCTTTGATTTAAATTTCAGCAATCTTTAGTAAAACAAGATTATGGCATCACATTTCTTTTAGAATTACCAATACCCACCCTTGCTGGTCTAGCACACAGCATATGGGACTGCTAAGGAAAAGGTCAGCCGTTTGACTTCTCAGAGTGAGAAAGCCGGGTAGTTCCCTCCCATAAAGATCTGTAGCTTCGGAAACATGGAGGGCTGCTAGAGTACCAACTGACTTGAAGGCCCTGAGCTTGTTTCTTTGTTTTGAGCATTGGGCTGCTAACCAGAAGGTCCATAGTTAAAACCTATCAACCACTCCACAGGAGAAAGATGAGTCCATTTCTTCCTGTAAAGACTTACAGCCTTCGCAACCCTATAGGGCAGTTCTCCTCTGTCCGACAGGCTCACTAAGGGTCAGAGTTTATTTGGAGGCACTGAGATTTCTGCATTAACAGATAATGCACTAACACCTGAACATTTCTTATGCATTTTTAACAGATGATATTTTATTTGAGTTTATTTATTGTCCAGAGTCTCACCTACCGATGGCTCTCCAGTGTGAACAGGGAACAAGTGAATTAAAACACAAACAGCAGCAGGTCGTACCTGAAGATTGCGCTTGCTTTTCCTTATGTTATGCTGCAGCAAAAAATTGTTCTCCAGAGAAAAACGGCTGTACTGATCATCCAGCTGCGATAAGAGGTCATGAAAACGAATGGTAGCAAATGAAATATCATTGGCAGCATGTTCCCTAGGAGGTTGAAAATGGACACGTTTTATTCTATAGACGTAATACGTAGACAAAACGAGGGTTATTTTCTTAATAGCAATTATCAGAAATCATTTTAAATGGTTTTCTTAGTCTTCACTTCCTTTTTGGATCTAACAGCCATCAGCAGCAGTATTTCTATTAGTGTTGCGACTGCTGCGAGGTGCCATCGAGCTGTGATTCCCAGTGACCCGCCCCTGCACAGTCCTCGCCGTCTCTGATACGTATGCTCAAGCCCACTGTCACAATCACTGTGTCAGCCCATCCTGTGGAGGGGCTTCTTGGTTTTTGAGGACCCTCTATTTTTCGAAGCATTATTAGTAATAATAAACAGTATTTCCACTAGCAGTAATAATTAGAAAGCTAGCTTAGAAGAAAGGTCTGTCCTGGAGAGGGGAAAACCAAGTTGCTCCTTGGAGGCAGGGATTCTGAAGTTCCGTCTCACACACTTTGGGCATGTTGCCAGGAGCGACCAGTCCTTGGAGGGGAACATGTTTAGGGTGAAGCGACAGTGCAGAAGAGATTCTGATGAGATGCATTCTGGATGAGATGGCTGGACACAGTAACTGGGGAAATGGGGGCAGGTGTATCAGAGACAATGAGACTGGGTCAGGAATAGGGCAGGGTTCAGAGCTATTGTATTTAGGGTCACTATGAGTCACAGGCAGTTTGACAGCAAGAAAAAACAATCACTGCATTACACATTCTAGGATGCCAAGAGATATGAACAAAATTGTTAACATCTTTGAAGTGAAGAAATTAATAGGCTCTTCACTTTCTATGCTAAATATTTTCAAAAGAATTAAAATTTCTGCCGTCAGTAAGGTCAGATATATTAGTTTAAAGATATACTTAAATTATCTTCTTCATTATCACTCGTCAATATTTTACCATAATATGGCTTTAAAAAAATTCATTTACTCCTGTCTGTAACCTAAATCCTATTTTGACAGTAAGTGTTGTCAGTGTTATTTAACTTAATCTAAAACATTTAGGACCGTGTATCGTAATTAAATTGTTCAAACTATAGAAGAATGCTAAATGGTTAGTGCATTTAGCTTTGTAAAGACCCATACCATTTTTTTAATCAAAGTACTCTTCTGCAATCTGTAATTCCATTGGTCACTGATGAGAGTCATTGGCCAGTTAACTCAGCTCCAATTCACTTCATTAACAAGTATGTTAAAAGCAGAGATAAATGCCACCCAGTGCTCCTTACCAGTCTTGCTTTTCTAGCCACTGGGCCAGGTACTGTCTGATTTCCATGGGAAAACTGTCATCATAGAGCTGGTGAACTTGCTCCAGGAATTTGGAGTCAAGCTGCTGAAGCTCATACCACTGGGACATCCTGTATGGAAAAAGAACATACATTGTGAGCAGATCTTGGCTCCTGAGAAGTGTGTCTAACACCACATGTTTTTAAACAAATAGTTTATTTACTCCAAAAGATAATTCCTCTTTGAAATATATTATTTAAATAGTGTTGAAGTCTATTTTGACTCTGGGTCAGTATTTCTTTTTTCTTCTACAGGAAGCACAACTTTTAGGTTTCTTCTCACATGCCAGCATAGCAGGGAAGTTTCTCAAACCACCTAATTTACACTGCAATCCTGGAAAATGCCATCCTGCTTCCTTGGGTTTTTTCCCCCCCTTAAAGCCATAGATGTTCTCTTTTATTTCTCTAGCAGTCTGTTTTTGTCTGATGAAGGGAAAGGATTCGGAAGGTTTTGTTTGGTGCTGTATCCCCAGGAGAGTGTCAGGCACATGGTTATGTTGTTATGTACCATGGAGTCAGAACTGATTCACCGCAGACGCTCTAGTAGGTTTTCAGAGGCCATAAATCACACAGGAGAATGCTCAGCTTTGTTCCATGGACCAGCTGGTGGATTCGAACTTCCTGCCTTAGGGTTGGCAGCTCAGCTTCTTTACCACTAGGCCACCAGAGCTTCCTCAGGCACAAGGCAAGTGCTCAATACGCATGGCTTTAAAATCTGCACGTTTATCACTTTAATAAACAGAAAGCATTGTTTCCTTAGTAGACTTGCTTCAGGAAAAATTGCAAGAACTTCTCAAAACTACTCTCTACAAATTACCCATAAGCAATAATAAATGGTAAGAAGATTAAAGTTTTACACAAGGAAATGCTACATAAGGAATTCATGTTACTTGAACCAACAGTTATTATCCATGAAAGCAGCAGTCAGGATATCTAATTAAGTTCTGCATTGTCTTAAGTCTGCTACAAAGCACCTCTCGAATAAAGATGTCATTCCGATGACTGAGATGTGCTGCTCCAAGCCATGTGTATTTTCAGTTGCCTCAGATGTATGAGAAAACTGGACAGTAAAAAAAAGGAAGACAAATGATGCATTTGAGCTGTGATATTGCCAAAGACTTATTGAATGGACAGCCAGAATAAGGAGTCTGGGTCATGAGGCGGGTTCAGAGGTGGGCTACTAGCTGAAAGATCAGCAGTTCAAATCCACCAGCTGCTCTGGGGGGGATGAGGTAAAAAGGTGCGGCCTAAGGTGATTTACAGCCTTGAAAAGCCTGTGCGACAGCTCTACTCTGTCCTACAGGGTCACTTTGAGTAAGAACTAACCTGATTGCAGGGTGAGAGAGGACCAAAAGAGCAAACGAATCTGTCTTAGAAGAAGTATAAATGGGATATTTCTCAGAAAAAGTTGGTAAGGCTTCCTCTTGCTAACTTGTGGAGGACCAGTGAAGACTCTCAACGATATGGAATGAAGTAATAGCCTCACCAATGGGCTCAAAGCAAGTACCCTGGCAGTGGCAGAGGACTGGGAATTTGCTTCCTTTTCACTGAAGATCTGGGTGAGAACCAACTCAACCACAGGGAGGTCTCGTGGCCCAGTCTGCCTGTAGGGAGGTGCACTGCCAACCCAAAGGTGGCACCTCTCTGGAAGTTCGAATCCACCAAAGGCTATAAGGGAGAAAGATGGGCAATCTCTTCCCATGCTTTTTACAGTCTCCCAAAAACAAGCTGGAGGATCAGCTATGAGTAGCTTCTGACTCAGCAAGGAGTTGGGGTTTTGGTGAAGTTTTCATGCAGCAGCAGCAGCAGCAGCAGTAACAACAACAAACTCTGACACATCTGTATGATGTTACTCAATGACTTTAAAATAGTTTACATTTTATGATTCGTATGGTAAACTCGTTTCTGTCCAAAGACGCTTTGTAAAGTTATTTATCACTCCATAAATCTGGAAGAAAGTCTTATATATTATAAATTATTTTAATAATTAAGGGTTAAAAATTTAATAGACATTTCTTGGATTTAGTGTTCGTTTCTGCACAGTCACTCTGAAGACTAAAAATAAGGTAATATTTTGATAGAAGGAAGTTCTAGAATCATAGGAAAGCTAAGAACCTTCCTTTATCATAGTGAATTTGTGGTTTCCATCAGCTCATCATAGCTTACCCTACTCAGTGCCGTCAACAAGCTGGCTGAGTGTTGTCACGAAAGCCACGAGCAGCAGACCCAAGCCCCTTCTTATGACACACTTGACATGGAAATTGGACTTCTCTCTTAAAATTTATTCTTCCTGAGGAAAGGCTCTGACTCTGTTCCTGAAAGATGTTTAATAAAGTAAACAAAACCCCTTCTTTGCTGTCTAGTATAAGAAGCCATGGTAGTGTAATGGCTAAAGAATTAAATCACTAACCAAAAGTCAGCAGTTTGACACCCCCCCCCCACCCCAAGTCACTCTGCAAAAGAAAGATGTGTCAGTCTGCTTCTGAAAACATTCTTAACTCAAGTTCACTGCAGTCCAATTGGTTTGACTGCAGTCTTCCATCGAGTTTGTTGTTGTTGTTGTTGTTGTTGTTGATTGCCATCAGGTCAAGCACAACTCATAGCGACCCTATGAACAAAAGACCTGAAGCCTTTCTTTAACTATCATTGTTTCTCAAAGTTCATAGTTTCCAGAGGCATATTGTTTACGAAGTGGATGTTATTCCTGCTTCCAAATCTGTCTTAAACTGGGAGCTCCTCCAAACACTATCCACCGTTATGGCATTTGAGACCCCAATGGCACAAGGTTCTGCATTAGAGCAACCCCAGGTTACCTGAGAACAGCAAACTGACAGAAGAGTGCTGTCCCACTTAGAAGAATGTTCCTCCAAAATATAGTAACAATCGACTTTTAAATACAAAGGCCCTCCACAAGGTCTTGTCGACTTTAAACATGAGGCATAAATTAAAAAAAAACAAAAAAACCACCCACCAATATAATACGTTGTTGTTACTGTTAGGTGCCATTGGGTCACCTGTGATGTACAGCAACCCTATATACAGCAGCTTTGAACCCTTCCCTGTCCTGATCCAGTCTCACTAACTCGAACACACCAACCCCCATTGCCCCAGTCACTGTATCCATCTCGTCCTGGGTCTTATTCTCCTGCTTACTAGGCTGTAGGTTATAACAGGAGGAGACTGTCCATCTTCCTCAGAGCCAGTGGATTTGAACCCCCAGGATCATGCAGCCTCTGCATCAGCGGTGCTACAGACTAGATGCCAGGAGAACTTGTCTGTGAAGATTACCACTTTAGAACCCCGATAGTAAAAACACCCAAAACCTCACTACCCTTGAGTCAGAACTGACTCAGAGCTGATAATCCACGCATTTTTTTGGAGGCTGTAAATCACATGGGAGGAAATTGCTCATCTTTTCCCTCTGAGGTGCTGTGGATTCAAACCCCCAGGGAGATGCCACCTTTGAATTGACAGTGCAACGCCCTATGGAATAGGCCTCGGGAGCTTCCTTTGAAAATCCTGCAGGGCAGTTCTGCTCTGTCTGGCAGGATTGTTATGAGCTGGAATCTACTCAAAAGCAATGAAACCCAAACGGCCATTAAGTCAATTCCAACTTCTGGTGATCTCCTGTTGGGTTTCCAAGACTGTTAAGTCTTCATGGGAGGAGACTTCCTTATCTTTCTTCCACTAAACAGCTAGATCATTAAAACTGCCAATTTTCTGGTTAAGTGCTGACTTCAACTGAAGATGTACTCAAAACAAATACTCTGCCTTGCAGTTCAGCTAGCTGGAACTGGTAACTCCTCTGATGAGTGAAAGGACCTCAAGCAACTAATTCTTCTCTCAGGAGGGTGGATGTCAAGGCTGTACAAGATAGCTGCGTACATATAACTTGGAACAGAGCAGGTAGGCAAACAAATACATGTTAACAAATCTAAAATGAATCTTGTCTTCTCATGAAACCTACTTCTTCCCAGGGAGTAACATTACCCACCCTCAAATTCCTGATTCAAACCCCAAATTCAGGAACGATTGCAAACGCTCTTTTTCCAGTCGACCATCTGCATACCTGTTAGACTACATCATCTCCTGCTTTAAAACTCTACTAGCTGGATTAGCAGCCAAATTCTTTACAAGTGCAGCACCAAGGTGAAATGTACCCCAGACAATTAAGCTTACTCTGGCTTACTTTGCACCTCATTGCAGCTGAACGGGTAGTAGTACAGCTTCAGATTAAGTGGTCCTTGTAAAGTTCTAAGGTTATTTACCGTATGTGATGAATAAAATTATGGAGATACCAAGACCATGCCTTCCCGTCTCCTGAAGGACAGCACCTATGCACATGATGTGTTCCCTAATAGGTATTGAACTGAAATCGAATACACTCACTTTATTTTTCATTGAATCACAATGTAACTGACAAACCATATTCTTGTTCACCAAGTTCCTCATTAATGGTGCACACTGGATTGTGCTGGAGGTTAGCAATTATTTTGGTTTCATAAAAACATTATCTGCCTAGCAAGTAACAGGTGTGCAATCAACCATATACCTACATACATACCTAAAACTCTTTTGGGGTTTGTAGCCATCAAATAAATTGCAAGAAGCCACCCCTACGTGTTAATCTTTAACCATATATGCATTATTGTGATTTCTGATTCACAGTCTCATTCATTCTTTATCTCCAGCACAGCCTGAAACACCACTTTGTACTTAGCACAGGACGAGGGGCTGGAGACCCAACCAAAGCAGCAGCTACACTCAACATGTGCAGTGCCAAGGCTGCTGGGAGGGTTTGCACGCACACAGTGTGAGCATCTGTCTCTAGACAACTCTCAAGCATGGTTCAGAAAAAGGCAAGCTTTAAGCAATAAAGTAGGAAATGCCCCGCTGCACCGCCCAGCCCGCACCTGGCGTCCCACTCCCAGGCACCTGCACCTCACACCCACTCACTCTGCAAGCCGAGCCCGGCGGCCGTGGGCAGGGTGCACGCGGGTGCAGAGGCACAGACACGCAGCTGCGGCCTCTCTGAGCGCTCCGATCTCTCTCTTGGGTCCGGGGCGAAAGGCGCC